ATGATAAATGTTCTACAACAATCTACCAGAAATAATAAAAATTAAAAATTATGGGTTAATTATGCATTATACTTGTGATTATAAACCGAAATCACATTAAGTTTTTGCAATATATCGGGACTTACAATACTTTAATGCACAATCGGACATATTTTCTTTAAAAATATTTTTTAACTTTAGGAAAAAAATGCGTCTTGAGCTTTTGATGATGTCATTAAGACTAAATGACACAACTCCGAAATATGTCCTGTAAGACGTGACCATTTTGTTGCTGATGTCTGGTCTATTACTACTACTTAAATGTCTTCGGTTAAAACCATATAAAATGGATGGGAACAGAATTCAGAGCCATCTATCGTTGGCCCAGATAAAAAATTTTGATCGGGAAAATTCGAATTGCAGAAATCAACATTTTGTTCATCGATCTGGTTTTTCCAAGATTTATTCTATTAAAAATATGTTTCTACAATTAAACATTATTTCTATAAACATATCTCTGGAATAATAATAATTAATTTTAGAAACATATTTCCTAATAATTCCTTGTCAGAAATGCATAATTATGCATTTCTGACAAGGAATACAAATTATAGTAAAGTAAGATTTATGCTTACAAATTAATTTATTCATTAGTATTCTACTAAGCCAGCGCTTATCTACGATCCCACCTGATGGTAAGTGCTGATGTAGCCTAAGATGGTGAAGCGCACTGACTTAACAAAAGCCTATTCACTCTTGCCTTGAAGACACCCACACTGTAATCGGATGGAAAGACAGATGCTGGCAACTTATTCCACTCCTTTGTTGTATGCATGATGAACGACGTGGCGAATCGTTTGGTTCGAATGCGTGGTAAGTCAACAACGATAGGGTGGAGACTGATCGAAAGTCTGGTTGTCCGATGGTGGAAGGGAGAGGGAGGAATTAAATTATGCAATTCCTGCGCACACTCTCCGAAATACATCCTGTAGAAAACCGAACGGCTGGCTACTTTACGTCTGTGTTCGAGGCTGCTAAGATTGGTTTTAACCAAATTCGGGTCACTAATAAGCCTCTTAGCATGCCTTTCCATTGATTCCAAAGCTGCTAGGTGGCATTTTGCAGTACCAGCCCATATATGGCAGCAATACTGCATGCACACCGGACTTGCGCTTTATAGAATAGAATAGAATAGAATAGAATGATTTTTATTCAATATGGATTATTACATAATACTTATTGAAAGTCATTATTTTATTTACTACTGGTTCGGAAAATACCTCTGTCCTGGGAAGAACCAGCAAGAAACCCAGCGGGACTTTTTTTTTTAAACATAATTTCACTTAACAATAATTTTGATTATACAATTTTAAATGAATTTTCATAGAACCAGCATGGTGGCGATCACCTTATTCCCAGAGGTTATTTTCATTCATGTATTCCTTGATATTATAATAACCCTTTTTGTACAGTTTTTCTTTAATAAAACTTTTAAACTTGTTTATTGACAAACTTTGAACATGTTCTGGGATTCTGTTGTAAAAGCGTATACATTGCCCCATAAATGAATTACTAATTCTGTGGAGTCTTGTAAGTGGCATTACAAGCTTATGTTTGTTCCTAGTGTTTAAGGTATGAACATCCTTATTCTTATTAAAGCTATTTATGTTTTTATGTACATACATTACATTTTCATAAATATATTGCGATGCCAAAGTTAATATGTTTATTTCTTTAAATTTTTCTCTAAGGGACTCTTTACAATTTAGATTATAAATCGCCCGTACGGCTCTCTTTTGCAAAACAAATATAGCTTCAATATCAGTCGCATTACCCCATAGCAAAATTCCATAAGACATTACGCTATGAAAGTAACTAAAATACACTAACCTAGCTGTCTCAACATCTGTGAGACTTCTAATCTTTCTTACAGCATATGCTGCAGAACTAAGTCTGCTTGCTAATTTAGATATATGGGGGCCCCATTGAAGTTTCGCGTCAATAGTAATACCGAGAAAAACAGTGGTATCCACAAGACTCAACTCCTCCCCATTTAAGAGCACATTGGTTTTCGAATGTTTTACATTAGGTATTGTAAATTTAATACATTTTGTCTTATTGCCGTTTAAGAGCAAATTGTTGGCGTTAAACCAATGTACTAGTTTCGATAGAGCATTATTTACATCGTCATATTTAATTGACTGCCGTTTCAGTTTGAAAATTAAAGAGGTATCGTCAGCAAATAATACTATATCGTGATTGTCCCCTACAAGATAAGGTAAGTCAATAATATAGATTAAGAACAGGAATGGGCCAAGAATCGAGCCCTGAGGAACGCCCATTGATACTACCGATCCGGAGGAACATTTACCATTAATGACGACTTTTTGAGTTCTGTCACTTAAATATGAAGTAATAAGTTTAAGCGCCAAATTTTTTACACCGTAATGTTGTAGTTTCCTGATTAATGTATCATGATGAACACAATCGAAAGCCTTGGAAAGGTCACAGAAAATACCTAAGGCATCTTGTGAATTCTCCCAGGCATTAAAAATATATTTCATAAGCTCAACACCGGCGTCAGACGTCGAGCGACCCCTTGTAAAACCAAATTGATTTTTATGAAGTAATTTATTTGTATTAAAAAAAATTAACAATTGATCCAAAATTATTTTTTCAAAAATTTTACTGAGAGTTGGTAGTACAGAAATAGGTCTATAATTAGCGGGGTCCAATGTACTACCAGATTTAAATAAAGGTATTACTTTACTATACTTCATTAAATCAGGAAACACACCAGAATCGATACAAGTATTAAAAATAATAGCAAGATGAGGTGCAATTAAATCTATTATGGACGTAATCACTGTAACGGAAATCCCCCACAAATCTGCGGTTTTCTTTACATCAATGGTTTTGAAGTATTTTACAATATTATGCGGTAATACTTTTTCAAATCTAAATTCTTTTAAACAGGTATTAACATTCTGTTTAAGTAATGATTCGGCGACAGTTGGAGAAGCATTCAATGACTCTGTTGTCAAGATAGGAACATCAGTGAAATATTTCTCAAACACCGCTGCAACTTCTTGATTTGATTTAGTCAATTCATTATTAATTTTTAATTGATAGTTTGAATTACGAGGTTTCTCATTACCGGTTTCGCTGTTAATTATACTCCACGTCATTTTAATTTTATTCTTAGCTGTCTTAATTTTGTTAGTAATATGTAATGATTTGGCTGTGGAGCAAACTCTTTTAAACATTTTAGAATAATTTTTTACATATTCTTTAAAAGCATCGGAAAGATTATACGATCTTTCATGGTAAAGGTCATATAACCTTCGTCTGCTTTTATGAATTCCTACTGTCGCCCACTCATTAAATGCCTTGCGACTGTTTCTGGAGAATGTTTTAGAAGTGAATGTTTTATTAAATTCATTGTTTATAAAGGTAAATAATTCTCTATATAAATAGTCTGCATTGTTCTTATAAGAAAGGGATGGAAGGATTTTTAACATATTACTTCTAAATCTCTCCAGGCGTTTTGCATTAATAGGAACAAACACAATTTTCTCATCTACCTGTTTTTTGTGCATATAAGGTAACGAAACCAGTTGTCCACAGTGATCTGAACTAAGTTTTTGAATTATTGATTTGTTGATTGGTACAACACCTGTAAAAATATTATCAATACAAGTTGCACTACACCCTGCAATACGTGTAGCTTCAAAGAATAAATTATTAAGATTATAGGATTTGAACAAAGAACAGAATTTAATACTGATGGAAGAAGTTTCCAGGAGATTGATATTAAAGTCTCCACACACTACAAGAGATTTATTTTGTTTATTAAGCTTAACTAAAACTTCTTCCATAATTTTTTCAAAAGTATCATAACTTGAACATGGGGATCTGTAAACACTGACAACAATAAGGTGCTCAAGCTCAACACATGCCATTTCTACAGTACGCTCAACAGAGAGGCTCACAATGTCTTTACGTTCTTTACATGATAAGGACTTATTAGCTAATATTAAGGAGCCACCACGTAATTTAGTATCTCTATTGAACGAACTGACCACCTGGTGATTACTGAAATTAAATATGGAGTTGTATTCTTTCAACCAATGTTCTGTAATACATAAAATATTTATACTGTTACTATTTAAAAATAATTCAATTTCTAATTCTTTGCCTAACATACCTTGTATATTTTGATGCACCAGGTTGATACAGTTTTTATTATTGTTATTTTGTAAAATTGCATAATTATGTATTGGTAAGTTGCATTCTAAGCTATTTAAATTATCTTTGCTAGAGATTACCTCTATTGTCTTATTATCTAATTTAAATTACTTGGAACTGGTTCCAAATCAAATGTAAAATTATTTTGTTGCTCAAAAGAAGCAGGTGTCAAGGTAGCCAAATCATTGGCTGAGTTAAAATATAAATAATAAGATAGCGTACAGTCGATTTGGGTAACTTTGAACATTTTTTACAGTATTTGCGATATTACAATCTGATTTATATTTATACACGTTTGTTTTATTGCAAAAATAGTGTTCTTTTGAGTTGGTTTATTATTTCAACACAATAAATTTACGGAAAAAACAACAGAACTACCTAGAAATTCCTCAAAAAGTCAAATTCAAAGTTACCACGAGTTTTGGGTAACTTTGAATCTAAATTTTTTAGGGTGTAAAAACCTATATTAATCCAATATTTTAAGGTTCGGGTAAAATTAGACGACGTATTTTTATTTAAAAAAACCTTATCTATCAAAATGATATCTATGGTGACGTTCAAATATAATAGATAACTTGGTCTTGCCATATGAATCAAGGTGGACCAATTTGGAGAGAAAAAAGGTCGTGTTCTTTTTTATAATTATATATTACTTCAAGATAAAGTAGGAAAGTTGTGTGTATCATAACAAATTATACATTTATTTGGCTATTGAATGAGATCAAAATCGTAACTCTAAGTAACATTTTCTTTAACAATTTTTTTAAACAAAATCATACACCCCATTGCAATAACAGAATTTCATCTTCAATAAAAAGTTGGCCGCCTTTTTTGGATAACTGTTGCTCCTTTAAAATACTTATTATATTGGCCTCATCGATTTGACATATGTCAGCTTTAGAGGGCCAAGACCAACCTCCTAAAAAGTTTTTTTGGAGCACAGAGACTTTTAAGGGTCTAAGTTTTTGTATCCTTCCTGGGAACAAACTACCCTCTTCTCTAAAGACACAATATGTACCCTCTTTTAATTTCGGGACTTTAACGTCACCCTTGCCTGTACACTTCTCAGTCGTCACGCCCTTTAATTCACCACTTTTCTCATCTACTATATATTCTTCTATAATGTCTTCATCTATTAAAATCACTTCACTTCCTATGTCTAAGTCAGGGCTTTCTTCCTGGATCATATCTTCTGCCATAACTTGATTTTCAAAAGCGTTGCTTAAGTCATCAGCAGATGTCTTGGAAAGTTTAGGAGGTTGGTGAACTAAAGCTTCTACTATTACTACTTTTCTTTCAATTTTTTCAGACTTATTATCACTATTTTTTTCAGTGATTGTATCTTCTGCTTCTCCATTTTTAATCTGGTCCCTGTCAAAATCTTTATTTTTTTCTTCTTCTGTATCGTTATTAATCTTCTTTTTCTTTTTGTTCTTAGAACCCAGGGGTCGTCCTTTTTTCTTGGTTTGCGCGTCGCTTTCAGCTCCCTTTAGTCCTATACTTTTGTTTGTATTGTCTCTTTCTTCATAATATTTTTCGACCTCCTCAGCCGAAACGCTTTTCCCAGCCGTAACGGGTAATTGAAATTTTCTTCCTTTCTTCACATGCAAATCTCCTTGCCTTATTTCTTCTATGTAGTTTATGAAACTTGTACCAATAGAATCGCAAACATCTGCCTGAGACGTGTACCTTGGTAATTTGTTCAAAACGGTAGAAGGTGAAAATGGTTGCAAGCCACAGCTCTGATATCCGGCTTTCACATTATCAGATGACGTACCTTCAATATTATTTAGAGACTTTTTGAGCAGCTGGGCAAAGAGAGGCTTTGGCAGTGCTTGTACTTTTTTTCCTTTATTAGTCTGTCGATAATCATTGAGAACTTTCCTCCATGAAGTTTTTAAGCCAGAAAAATAACCCACATCTAGTGGTTGCAACAGGTGGGTTGAATTTGGTAGTAAGCAAATAAACGTAATGTTATGTTCACTGCAAAGACGTAATGCTTTTGGTGATATATGGGCGCTGAGATTATCGCACAACAATACCTTCTTGCCATTTTGCTTATCAACGTGTGGAATAAAATGTCTTTCCAACCACTCCTCAAAGATTGAAGAATCTATCCATCCAGATTCAGACACAGCCATTCTTGAACCTGAAGGAGCTTGAAAAAGCCAATCTGACCACAGTCTCTTTCCTTTAAATATAAAAAAAGGAGGCAAAACTTCGCCACCAGCATTTGCACAAAAGACCACAGTGTAACACGATTTACTGGTATTTTTTATAACTTCGGGATGTCGAGAGTCTCTACGGAAAAGCAACTTTTTCTTTCCAGGGTCGTCATGAAAACCTGACTCATCCATATTATATATATTTTCTGGTGGGACTCCTTCTATTTCCGTTTTAATATGTTTAAAGAATTCCTCGACCATTTCTCGTGTGACTTGAGCCCTCTTTCGAGATATGTTATAAGCTATTTTTGTTTTTAATTCTGGGTTTCTTTCTAAGAACAATACACCCCATTCATAACCTGGAAGGTTGTTTTTAAATTGTGGCTTTGTTATATTGTTGGTATCTAAGTAGTTTTTTACTACAAATCTGAAGTCCATCATACTAATAGGTATGCCGAGATCGCTTAACAGCAACAAATGAGCCTTGAAGCTAGTTTCTTCGTCTTTACTAAAAGTAACAGGTTTACCAACTGGTTTTATGTGTTTACTTTTTAATTTGTAAAAAAGGGTTACCGCAGGTATTTTGTAAAACTTTGAAGCAGCGAGTCTAGACATGGCACCTGAACGAATTTTACTGAGGGCTTCTTCGAGCGTTTCAGAGGTATAATTACTTTTTAGTCCATATCTCCTAACCCCGGGGTTCACTTTTTGAGTTTTCCGGGGCATATTTTAGCTGTAAAAGGCGAAAATTTTAATCGTAATCGAGCAACATTATGTATGTACTTATTCAAAGTTATCCAAACAACATTTTTTATAATACGGGTAACTTTGAACCGTTCAATGTTACCCAAATTACTTCGATTTTGATCGTCTTCAAAACTTCATCAGTTCTACATAATATTTAACATCAAAATCGAGTATTGAATTGAAAAAAATAAAATATAAACTACATTTTAAAGATAAACACCAAAACATACCTGTGTAAAATAAGTTTAGTATATTTAATTACTATTTCAAATCAGAGCAAAAAACACTTCCAATAACTTCACTACGGAAAAGGCGGGTAATTTTCAAAATTATGTATTTGACAGTTTATTTTTTTACTCTTCGTTTGCTACAAAACATTTTGGCGATCCATTTTACGCAGTTACGATGTTGTAACAACATAAAGTTTCCTTATAATAAATTATTAAATCTTTTTCACAACTTTGTTCAAAGTTACACCGCTATTCAAAGTTACCCAAAATGACGTTATCTGCTACTAGTCTTAAACTATACTTTGATAGGTAATACCTATCTCTTGTCAAAAACTTCTTAGTTAAATTATTAATATCAATTAAATGAAATTTATCATTATTATTCTTACAATTAAATGTCAAATTTAGGTTATTGTTACATGTCAAGTTATGCATCATTAAATTTAAATTATGTCTTAGTTTATTTTCCTGTGGCCACCCCTCTATATAAGGCAATGTAAACAAGATAACTTTAAGCACATTTATGTTATTGAGATATTCAATATATTTTAATAATTGATTCTTGTTCATATTGCCTCTTCTCCCAACAAAAATTATTAATATACTATTAGGGTTAAATTTACTAGTTAAAATTTTATTCATAATATCACTGAATGATGCTCCAGGCATGCAGTAAATACTTATCTGTTGCCTTTTTAAACAGTTATTCAATGATATACCCAAGTTTTTGCCTATGTCATCACTATACACAATTATATTATTTTTTTCATTATATGAATTACTTTTTAAATTTATCTGCTTTGTTATGGTACTATCATAGAGTAAGCATATATAAAGTATCATATATAAAGTAAGCAGCTGTCCCGGCGTGAAGTATCGCCTCACCTTTGCAAGGACTCCTAGCTTCCTTTCAGCTGCTTTGGCCTTGGACTCAATGAACCGCCCGAAGTTCAAATTTGAGGATATTTCAAGCCCTAATAACTGAAGGCGGTCGGTATATTTCTGTGATATATTTTGGAAAGAAGGAGCCAAGGTGAGCTGGCTCCTTTTTGCGGTGAAGAGACACGCTTGTGTTTTGGAGGCGTCGAACTTCACAAGATTGGCATCGCCCCATTCAGAGACTGCCTGTAGTGTGAGTTTCATACGCTCTACCATAGCTTCTCTTTCGGACTGGACATATCATATTAAAAGATACAGAAAAAAAAAACAAATCTTTAGTCTATTAAATTGTTTTAAATTCATTTAAGTTGGTATATTGGAATTACAGGTGTAGCGTAAGTTAATATTTATTGAAACACGTTTAAATTATGCAAAATTCTTACAATATTCGCATAGAAAATAACTATAATAATATGTACAGTCGATTTGGGTAACTTTGAACATTTTTTACAGTATTTGCGATATTACAATCTGATTTATATTTATACACGTTTGTTTTATTGCAAAAATAGTGTTCTTTTGAGTTGGTTTATTATTTCAACACAATAAATTTACGGAAAAAACAACAGAACTACCTAGAAATTCCTCAAAAAGTCAAATTCAAAGTTACCACGAGTTTTGGGTAACTTTGAATCTAAATTTTTTAGGGTGTAAAAACCTATATTAATCCAATATTTTAAGGTTCGGGTAAAATTAGACGACGTATTTTTATTTAAAAAAACCTTATCTATCAAAATGATATCTATGGTGACGTTCAAATATAATAGATAACTTGGTCTTGCCATATGAATCAAGGTGGACCAATTTGGAGAGAAAAAAGGTCGTGTTCTTTTTTATAATTATATATTACTTCAAGATAAAGTAGGAAAGTTGTGTGTATCATAACAAATTATACATTTATTTGGCTATTGAATGAGATCAAAATCGTAACTCTAAGTAACATTTTCTTTAACAATTTTTTTAAACAAAATCATACACCCCATTGCAATAACAGAATTTCATCTTCAATAAAAAGTTGGCCGCCTTTTTTGGATAACTGTTGCTCCTTTAAAATACTTATTATATTGGCCTCATCGATTTGACATATGTCAGCTTTAGAGGGCCAAGACCAACCTCCTAAAAAGTTTTTTTGGAGCACAGAGACTTTTAAGGGTCTAAGTTTTTGTATCCTTCCTGGGAACAAACTACCCTCTTCTCTAAAGACACAATATGTACCCTCTTTTAATTTCGGGACTTTAACGTCACCCTTGCCTGTACACTTCTCAGTCGTCACGCCCTTTAATTCACCACTTTTCTCATCTACTATATATTCTTCTATAATGTCTTCATCTATTAAAATCACTTCACTTCCTATGTCTAAGTCAGGGCTTTCTTCCTGGATCATATCTTCTGCCATAACTTGATTTTCAAAAGCGTTGCTTAAGTCATCAGCAGATGTCTTGGAAAGTTTAGGAGGTTGGTGAACTAAAGCTTCTACTATTACTACTTTTCTTTCAATTTTTTCAGACTTATTATCACTATTTTTTTCAGTGATTGTATCTTCTGCTTCTCCATTTTTAATCTGGTCCCTGTCAAAATCTTTATTTTTTTCTTCTTCTGTATCGTTATTAATCTTCTTTTTCTTTTTGTTCTTAGAACCCAGGGGTCGTCCTTTTTTCTTGGTTTGCGCGTCGCTTTCAGCTCCCTTTAGTCCTATACTTTTGTTTGTATTGTCTCTTTCTTCATAATATTTTTCGACCTCCTCAGCCGAAACGCTTTTCCCAGCCGTAACGGGTAATTGAAATTTTCTTCCTTTCTTCACATGCAAATCTCCTTGCCTTATTTCTTCTATGTAGTTTATGAAACTTGTACCAATAGAATCGCAAACATCTGCCTGAGACGTGTACCTTGGTAATTTGTTCAAAACGGTAGAAGGTGAAAATGGTTGCAAGCCACAGCTCTGATATCCGGCTTTCACATTATCAGATGACGTACCTTCAATATTATTTAGAGACTTTTTGAGCAGCTGGGCAAAGAGAGGCTTTGGCAGTGCTTGTACTTTTTTTCCTTTATTAGTCTGTCGATAATCATTGAGAACTTTCCTCCATGAAGTTTTTAAGCCAGAAAAATAACCCACATCTAGTGGTTGCAACAGGTGGGTTGAATTTGGTAGTAAGCAAATAAACGTAATGTTATGTTCACTGCAAAGACGTAATGCTTTTGGTGATATATGGGCGCTGAGATTATCGCACAACAATACCTTCTTGCCATTTTGCTTATCAACGTGTGGAATAAAATGTCTTTCCAACCACTCCTCAAAGATTGAAGAATCTATCCATCCAGATTCAGACACAGCCATTCTTGAACCTGAAGGAGCTTGAAAAAGCCAATCTGACCACAGTCTCTTTCCTTTAAATATAAAAAAAGGAGGCAAAACTTCGCCACCAGCATTTGCACAAAAGACCACAGTGTAACACGATTTACTGGTATTTTTTATAACTTCGGGATGTCGAGAGTCTCTACGGAAAAGCAACTTTTTCTTTCCAGGGTCGTCATGAAAACCTGACTCATCCATATTATATATATTTTCTGGTGGGACTCCTTCTATTTCCGTTTTAATATGTTTAAAGAATTCCTCGACCATTTCTCGTGTGACTTGAGCCCTCTTTCGAGATATGTTATAAGCTATTTTTGTTTTTAATTCTGGGTTTCTTTCTAAGAACAATACACCCCATTCATAACCTGGAAGGTTGTTTTTAAATTGTGGCTTTGTTATATTGTTGGTATCTAAGTAGTTTTTTACTACAAATCTGAAGTCCATCATACTAATAGGTATGCCGAGATCGCTTAACAGCAACAAATGAGCCTTGAAGCTAGTTTCTTCGTCTTTACTAAAAGTAACAGGTTTACCAACTGGTTTTATGTGTTTACTTTTTAATTTGTAAAAAAGGGTTACCGCAGGTATTTTGTAAAACTTTGAAGCAGCGAGTCTAGACATGGCACCTGAACGAATTTTACTGAGGGCTTCTTCGAGCGTTTCAGAGGTATAATTACTTTTTAGTCCATATCTCCTAACCCCGGGGTTCACTTTTTGAGTTTTCCGGGGCATATTTTAGCTGTAAAAGGCGAAAATTTTAATCGTAATCGAGCAACATTATGTATGTACTTATTCAAAGTTATCCAAACAACATTTTTTATAATACGGGTAACTTTGAACCGTTCAATGTTACCCAAATTACTTCGATTTTGATCGTCTTCAAAACTTCATCAGTTCTACATAATATTTAACATCAAAATCGAGTATTGAATTGAAAAAAATAAAATATAAACTACATTTTAAAGATAAACACCAAAACATACCTGTGTAAAATAAGTTTAGTATATTTAATTACTATTTCAAATCAGAGCAAAAAACACTTCCAATAACTTCACTACGGAAAAGGCGGGTAATTTTCAAAATTATGTATTTGACAGTTTATTTTTTTACTCTTCGTTTGCTACAAAACATTTTGGCGATCCATTTTACGCAGTTACGATGTTGTAACAACATAAAGTTTCCTTATAATAAATTATTAAATCTTTTTCACAACTTTGTTCAAAGTTACACCGCTATTCAAAGTTACCCAAAATGACGTTATTCAATTTAAATAAAATATAAAAATTTGAGTTTTGTTTTAATAAAAAAATCGGCCTTTACACCTAAAGATGATTTATACAGGGACAATAATTTTGCGTCAGCTACTCCGTACGCTGTAGTGCCTGGGACATGAATCCAAACTAATAATATAAGTTTGGATTGCAAGTATAGTAAATCTTAATTTATGTTTACAA